GTATTTGATTGTGTTTATCTGCAGTTAGTTACGAATTCAGATATGGGATGAAATCGGATAGGGATGAATGAGTTTAAGAGTTTTTAAGAGTTTAAAAGTTTTAAGAGTTTTAGCTAAATGCTTTATAATATAGTATAGATATAGATATAAATAATCATTATATATCGATTTGATTAATCGAGGTTGTGAACCATACAATATACCTAAAAATACCCGTACGATGATTTTTTGTCCTTAGCTGATAAATCGAAAATATTCGGAGAAAATAATTCAAACCTCCATGTAAAATGCTTATCGGTGAATAATAGGATTTGGCGGTTGTGCTTCAAGTTCTAGGGCACAAGCTTCTACATCTATCAACATTAATCTCAGGTATTTTCATCAGTTGCTATTCCGTTGGATTAGATGTTGTTGTACACTATTCTTCTTCCCAACTTAAACGTGATTTGATTCAAAACTGATTCATTTTGAATTCTATAAGTAAAAGTTATCTATGATTTAGAAAGATCATAGCAAATTACTACCATTTATTTAACCTTTTTTTGGATAATCGGCTTATACTTATTCTTGTTATATGATGATCGCTCGAAATTTTATTTACGGCTTGGTTTTGTAATCAACTGACTTCACAACAGATGAATGATTTTAGGTTTAGTTCCTCCCAAACAGAGGGAAACAGTTATGAAAACTTGTGATTTCTTCTATCTCATAGCATGTGCAGATTCTTTTCAGGACAGTGCAAATTATTAATTTAAGATCTTATATTAGAATACCAACATAATACATCTGTGGATCTGTCTGACAAGGTTTGGGAGGAAAAGATCATACATTTGAATGATAGACGATGAACAGAAGAAAGCATGTAAGACAAAGAAAATTGAGTTTCAAGTGCAGATTGGAAAACAAATTGGAGGTATACGTGTGCCATGTTTTGTTTAGTATTGTGGCTTGGAGCATTCAGGAGCCATCTGCCAATTGAAACGCTCGTAATCTGTGCAGTAGTTATAGATCATGTAGTTATCTCTAACCCATTTCAGCTTACCCTGCTGATCCCAGTTCAGTTGATTGTAAATGGGGGAGGTCCACCAGTTAGCTGAGGTAGGATAGGCACACTGGAAAATGCTAACGGGTCCATTCCACTTGCAAGCCCTTGCATTGAATTTACGCAAACTGGCCTTAAAAGGTGCACAGGTCCAGTCGATTTTGACTAGGCCGCCTCTTGTTGCCCAGTTATCGGCATTCCACAAACTAGAGTAGACCTGCATTCCTTGTTGGTTTGGGTAGCCAATTCCTTCACTTTTGTAGTTTCTGAAGACCCTAATGGGTATACTATCTACATACCACCTGCATTTATTGTCATAATCAAACCGTTTAATTAGTAACTGTTAGTCTGTAAACTAAACATATACCGCAGTAAGAGTCCTTTAATTTTTAAAATTTTATCAAGAATAACAAACCAAGTTAAGGGTTTAACATGGGAGCAACCAGTAATGTTGCTCTTTTGTTTCCCGTAGGTCATGGTGCACCAAAGAAGGGAGTCTTGGTGCACCAGGGTTGTTCTTTGGTAGAAAGTAAGTTAGGGTGCTTATCTTTGGTGAACTTACACAACTGCGGTGGGGTTCCAGTGAATGGTGTAGTTGTGGAAATCGGCAGTTGGGTCAAACCATAACTTAAACTGCTGCTCCCTATTTCCTTTGCCTTGGGTAAAGATGTTTGTGTGCATGGTGTAAGGTTGTCCTGATGAATTCCCTAAGAACTCAAAGTCGATCTCATCATGATAGGCACCAGTAGAAGAAAGCTGCAATGATTCCACAAAAAAGAGTTAGCTATCCAGTTTTAGTATGTCCTTGGTGTTAAGCATTGATTAGATGTAGTTTTTGCACTTTATCTAAAAGCATTCATTCACACTTTTGCACAAGTGAGGGGTCTTCACAAAAACAGCTTCTCTACCCTTTGGGGTAAAGTGTAGGTCTGCATACATTCCTACCCCCAAACCTTGCTTTTGAGTGGGATATACTGGGTTTTGTTTGGTAATATAAAAGCATACATCAACAGGGAAGAATTTAATCATCTCTTGAGTCTTGCTATTACACTTACATAATATGCAGTGACAGTTCCTGCAGAGTTCCCTGGAACCAATTTGATTAGCATTTCAATGCTTCCAAAAAGGAATGCCTTGCTTGATTGAACACCCGATCCTGTAATTAGAGTTAGAGCAATATTCATTGTTAAGATGATGCTACATCTTATGTGAAAGTTTGAATTCATGTTTGACTTTTAAATTTTAGGAGTCAAATGGATTTGAACTATAGAATTTTCAAAATCAAAACCAAACCAAATGAATTTGGCATGTAATATGTACGTAGACCTGACCTCTACCCCCAGAGAGTAGAGCGGGCTGAGCGGCTGTTTACATGATCCCTAATTACGGATTATAGTAAACATAAACGTAGAGATGATATGCACCTGAAGCTTTATCCAGCACCAAATTAAGATCATCACCAGAGCCAAAAATGGAAGAATGCTCGCCACCCCAGTTGAAATACATGTCATTGTAAAAATTTCCATGGACAAGGCATGATTGGAATGCAACTGCTGAGACAAATACAACTGCAACCAACACCTGGAAGCTTGCCATGGTAGTATTCTTCAGTTTCTTCTATATGTAACTTGAATGCTCTTGTCATTGCTTCTTGACACCTTATATAGCCTTTGGGATCCCTTGTCATCTTGACTCTTACCCCATTATTAATTTGTTCTTTTAAATTTAATTTTATATACCTTGACCTTTTCTTGCATTTTGACATTAATTCCTTAAACACCACTATAATTAAGTCTCCCATATTTGGAAAATAAAATTTATACAATCTTAAATGATAAATAGTATTTGTAAGAACTTTTTTCCTACATCTTGGGCCTTTTTTCATTAGCTTTATAACAAATGTGTATATGAAATATGTGGAATATCATTGGATTACTTTCCGAAAGAGCCATTGGATAAAGAAATGATGTTCCGATATATATATATATATATATATATATATATATATAAATATAAAGGTCAAAGTCTGGCTGATGTATGACTTTAACTGTACTTTATGCATTAACTATACTTCCTCCTTCCTAAAATAAATATCCATAATTGACATGATTTATAGTTTTAGACTTTAGTAATTTTTAAAAAAGAAAAAGGAAAAAAAAGAGAAGGGTTTTAGGAGAAAATTACGTGCATAGGACTAAGAAAAGAGGAGTCTATTAGCCAGCTATGAATGAAGAGTGGACAGACAAAAGGGGATGAAAGGGGAAAAAAATAACATTTTATGTGTGTGTTGGTGGTTAGCTTAGACCCAGACGTGCTACCCTCGAGACAATGTATTCAGAAAATCAAGGTTTATTTATTTATATACTAATTTTCACGTGGGTTGGAAGGTTATTACTGTGATGCTAAATTGTATTCGAGTATAATTAACTTGATTCATATTTTGGATTTACTTTTAAAATCTTCTATTTTGGAGAACTAATTTTTAAAAATCTTTATTATGAAAAATCGTATTTCAGTATTTTTTTATTTTAGAAAACCAAAATGTGTGTTCATATTTTGGAGAACATGAATTTGGTCACTGGATCTTTAAAATATTTGAAGTCAAGAAAGTTGGTTTTACAAAGTTAGTTTTCTAAAATAGAAATGAAAGTAACATTGATTTATTTTGATGCAATCCCAATATATACATATAATTCAATTGTCTTTGTATGTATGTATGGAGGGAGGTTTTGAGAGAGAAACCCAAAAAAGATACCAAAGGAACTTCTATCAGTCGTTGTCCAAAAAATAAAATGCTCCAGATTTGAATGTAACTTGTAATATATTTAGTTTTGGCAAGATATAACCGTCTCTATTATTCCCAACTGTTGGATTATAATTGATGGATCGTTTGGATAGGTTTCCTTTATCTTAATTTTTTGGGATGCTCCTTTGATTTCACCCTTAGACATAGCAGTAGACATGGGCACGGGCCTCAAGCACCGTCCTGATCTTTGGCTCTGTCGCCAGAACCCACTACTCCTTAACTGGCTTGAGGAGAAAATTAGGCGGTCTTTGGTTCTTAGATAGCTTATGAATAAATGAAATTTGCCAAAAGAACTGAAACTTAAAGGAATTGCAATCAAATTTGATCACATGTATGGCTGGCCAGAATTAGGGCTTGGGTAGTATTATTGTCTTTCTCAAAATATAACATAGAATGAAATTTACATCTTTGCTAAGCCTCAAAGAATTACATCAACTATTTCCGTAAGTATATATTTGTGCATTTTTCGTTGATCGTTTATGATATTACATGTTTATTCAATCTAAGTTTACTGCACATCGATTATTTGATAAATAACATACCATCATTAATTGTTTTGGAGCTTAAAAGATTGTACTGTGACGTAAACCCAACATTATACTGTCCCCAAATGATCATTCACCAATTTAGAGTTCCATTATTGTTTAAAATTTGAGAAAAAAGATGAGAAAATATCATGGGAAATTTCCACAAATGCAGCAAAACAAGTATCACTACTAGTCGATATGAACCCATATACCTCCTCCAGGAACGCCAAGATTATTCACAAATAGAATATAGTATCCGGGAGGAGCAATCTTTCCCGATGGCGGTGCAAGGGCGGTGATCACGTTATCGGAAATGTCCATCACCGCCGGAACAATCAACCTCTGGTTTTGGGAGAAGCCATGAGTGGTGAATGGTGGGTACAACATAGTTACCTTAATCTCACCCAACACCAACGGAGCTTCCGATTGTAGAGTAGCTGCGATCTTAAAAGGTTTCCCATACTTTAAGACCTTGTCAGTACCTTGTTCATCAATTATAGGTCTTTGGCCGTCGATCGTAGGGTCCAAGTAATGAGGTGAGAACTTCTCCACCCTCAACTCTGTCGGAAACTCGACGTTGAAAGTGTAGAACTGGTGTGGGTTGCTGCCGGCAACCAAAATCTTAGTATCCGGTAACAATGCTGAGGTGGAATGATACATCCTTGCGATTGTGGCCGGTTTCAGTTCTTTAAACCTGTAACCCATTGGTTTGAATGGTGTATATAAAAGAGGAGTAAAGTTAGGGTCTGTGGCATCTTCCCAACCAGAAGTACCCTTTTTGGCGCCATTGATCATAAGGAGATCTCCGGTTGGGAGGTGTAAAAGGTCGGCCATGATCCTCGGTGATGGCATATCTTGTTCTTCCTCCCATGTTGCACCTTTGTTCATCGGATGGATTCTATGGCAGTCTTTAAGTGCAGGTACATACTCCTTTTCAGTTGCATTCTTTCCATCGACTACTTCAAATGCATTGGGGCTGTTTCCACCACAAATGACAATCTCGACATTTAGGGGTTGGGAATTATCTGGACCGAGTTTTAATGGGAGAATGGCGGAGCTGCCGGAAGGTGGGTAGTTCCGGGATCCACCTGGACAGACGGGATGTTGTTGAACGATCTCACCTGTTGTTGGAGCGAAGGTGATGGCACGGTCGTTGGCAAAAAGAAATACGTTGCCATCGGGAAGGAGGAAAAGGAACGGATAGAGGTTGTTCTCGATGTATTGGTTCGGTCCCTTGGCTGGTGCACGTGTTTGTTGGAGGAACGGGAGTTCGATCCTCTTGGGTTCGAACTCGAGTTGTGGTGGCACGATCTCATAGCTGAATGCGCCTCGACCTCCCACGACTATTGCGCTCCCGTCTTCTAAAATCTGGTTCGATGAATACCTGTGATTTATTCCATCTCAACTTCATATATGATACGTTACACTAGCTCTGTAGCTCGTACATGTATATATGAAGTATGTACTAGTTAACTATAATATTTTTCACGTACCATCTAAAGTCGGCAAGAACATCTTTTTTTTCAATAAAATCTGCGTTGAGATCATCTTTAGGCAACATTCTGACAGCCTTAACCCCGCTGAAGGAACCTCCGGTAGCCACAAAGTTTCCATTCGGCCATAAGTTTCCCGACGAGCACCACGGTTCACCTGATAACTGCAATAAACATAATGCATGCAAATGATGAATCACAACAACATAATTGGGTTTATCGAACAACAAAAATGTTTAAGAGGCCGTTTACCAAACACTTACCCAGTAAACGCTTATCGGTAAAATTTAACACTACCACTTACTTATCGGGTAAGACCTTAGTCCACCAAAACGGCACTGTATGTAACAATTTACCCAGTAAGCGCTTATTGTGGTAAGGGTCGTTGCCCTCACTTACCGAGTAAGACTCTTGGTCCTTGTCTTGCTCTTACCAGGTAAGATTTTTAGTTCTTACCATATTCATCCGGTAAGATAATTTGACTTGATAACCGCTTACCCGGCTAAGTGTATGGTAAACGACCCCTTAAGTGTGGCAATAAACTGCTTGTTATGAAGTTTAAGAACCATATGATTGTATGCTTTATGTAAAAGCGTTAGCAATAAATTTATTAAATGTACCACGATGGTTCTACTTTTTGTGGTTTTCCAGTCGTAAGCGAGAGCATGAGCGTAGCAATCCGGCTGGTTGTTTGCGTCTGGGTTAATCGGACAGTTCCCTTGAGGTTCCAATTTCCGGGCGGAAGGCCCGACTGACGTAGCATCATACCAGACTACTTGATCGTTAGGCATCAACTGTAGTTGCATTGCACCCACACCCACATCTGGATTATCCAACACCCATTCACCCACAAAATTTGTCTCAATCTCTGCCTTTGCATAATCGGATGATCGTCCATCGCCAACAAGTTGATTAGGACCAGGCGCACCATCACCCATATCCGCTGCACCACCACCACCTCCGCCTCCACCGTCACCCGTGGCGGCAAACACAGAAATCGCAAAATTTTGAGGGAGAAGGAGGAGAAAAAGGATGAAGGTTTTGCATAGTGAAGCCATTGGAGCAAGTTCACTGTTTTACACAAACTTAACCCTCTTTTATACTTGAATTAAACTACATGATTTGAGGTTAAAATACGAGGGTTTTAGCACCACCTCGTCGCACTTGAACAATATATGTATCTCGAAACCATATATATATATATATGTATGTATATTTGTTATCTGTTGTACGAGGTTTCTATTAAAACCCAATATTGTTGTTCAACAGATAAACAATATGCATTTCGAGGTATCTGCATCGCAAAAACGGCATCTCGATTGCATAATCCATCTTAAACGACATGGACACCATGAAGCATTACTAACAAAAACAACGATTCCATCATCCCCTCTTCTAAACCTACATTTAATTACCTTATTCCTAATTTAATAGAATTACCCTTTGTGTAACGCATCCTTAAATTCTTGTTACTTGAGTTGATAGGATGTTTCAGGTCGACATAATTATGGATTTTGCATTTATTAAGAATGTTTATATCCGTTCAAAAAGTTAATTATCGACAATCCCAACCAGTCTTACACGAAACCCGCCTCTAAGTACACCAATGTAGGTAATTTGTTTTTGACTCATTCAGCGGTTAAAGCCAGAAGGGATCGAACCCAAGATGATAAGTTTAGTCTGTAATTATTTCAGTAGAATATAAACATCGATTATTTCTCTATGATCAAACAATTTTCATTCGTATATAATGCGCTCTCTCTCTCTCTTTATATATATATATATATATATATATATATATATATATACACACACACCATGGTTATAAATAACTCGTTATGACCTGGGGGATGTGATGGAATATCTCATGTCCAAGGTTTGATTTCAGGGTACACAACAATTGTGGCTACTCATGAGTTTATCATGACTGATTTCTTGCAATCACAATTTGTCGGAATTAGTCTAGGCTGGGACACCCTTCCAAAAAAAGAAAACTTATTATGGCTGGTGGCAAAGCCAGGACTTGGTGCGAGAGGGAGCACCAAATAAAAAACATATTAATTTTCTGACAAAAACAACGACATTATATTAAAAGAACACCAACGGTGAACTGATTTCCATATGACTTGTGCTTACAAGTATTAGAATTATTTTTATTCGATTGTTTTCCTCTTAATTAGATACTTATCATAGATACTTATCAATGATTGTTAAATTCTAACCAGTTAATTTAGTACACAAATAAATCAATTGTTAATGACTAAAATAAATTGGCAGCCCTAAAATTGAATTAGTTAAAATGACGGACATAAGTCAGTAAACTACTTAAGAAAAAAGATCAAAACAACGCTAAAAATATTTGAATTTATGTCATAGTAAGTAGATGGCTAGATTTCTTTTTGTCTAAAATCAAGTACGTTTAAATTTAAATTCTTCAAGAATAATGTCAATCTAGCCGTAATCAGTTGTGATGCTTGCATATTACATGAATTAGAATCGAATATCAAAACCTCGACTTAAGAATTAAGAACAAAAATCGAAACTCTAACATGAAATACACTTTAAATTCTTAAGAACCCAGACTATTTCATAAGTAACAGAAGCCATGCCTCTGTTTTCTGACTCAATAGAAGAACGAGAAACTGTATTTTGTTTATTACTTTTCAAAGAAACCATAGATTTTCTAAGGAATAAACAATAACCGGTGACAAAACCTTCTTGAAGAAAGACATTTTTCCCAATCAACATTAACATAAGCAGATAAAAGAACAGATTCTGACTTGGTAAAAGTCACTCCCTTTCCTGGTGAAGACTTCAAATATTTGACAACTGTTAAAGCTAATTTAAGATGAGATTGTAGAGGTGAGTGCATAAACTGACTTAAGCAATGAACAACAAAAACAATAATACATCTGACAGTGACCATTTTTATAACAGGAGAGACAATTTCTTCATAATCAAGACTCTTTCTTTGACTATATCCTTTAGCTACTAATCTAGCTTTATATCTTTCTATCTCCCCAAATGATTTATATTTAACTTAAAAAATCCAATTACAACCTATGGGCTTCCTTCTAGGAGGTAAATCAGTAATAATCCAAGTACCATTTTTATACATAGCTTCCATTTCATCATTCATAGCAGAAATCCAATTTTTATCATTACAAGCTTTTGAAAAAGTCTTTGGCTCAATAGACTTGTTCAAATTTGACACAAAACAAAAAATTTCATAATCCAAGTTAGAGTAGTTTACCACTCTTTCTATTTCATACTTAACTTTGCCTTATATTACAAAATCATCAAATTTTTGAGGAAAGTTGGAAGCTGTAGTTATTCTTCAGATACTAGGACCAAATTGGAGAGTAGAACTACCCTCAGGTTGGAGATCTGAATTTTTAGCATCATTGAGTCTTTGGTGAGCATCCAAAGGTTGCACCAGACCCTATACTATCTATGGCAGCTACCTCTGAGCTACTCAGTGGTTGCATACTGGTAACTCCTCTAGGATTTTCATTGAGGATACTTATGCTATCTAGTTGCCGCCTACTGGCAGCTCTACTTGGGCTACTATCAAAAGACAGAGACTGGTTACTTTCCTCCAAAGGAGGTTGATCTCTAGCCTCATCATTGGGTGGTAAATCAGAAAGATTAGTAGAGGAACCAAGGGATAAAGCAAAGAAATTTAGATTATTTACTTCACTGTTAATATGACTATCCAACTTGTTTGAACTCATTTTAGAAGGAAATATAGTTTCATAAAACTTGACATCTCGAGAAACAATTATTTTATTTGTATGAAGACTAAAAAACTTATAACCCTTTTGAGAATTAACATACCCTAAAAGCACACATTCTCAGCTCTTGAAGAAAATTTATCAGAAACATTAGTTTTAATAGCAAAACAAAGACATCCAAATTCCTTAGATGAGTTAAAACAAGTTGGAATCCATAAACAAGCTCATAAGGACACTTCCCTTCTAAAATGAAGAAATGTGTTCTATTTATGAGATAAATGTCAATTAATATACATTCATTCCACATTTTTAAAAGAATACCTCCCTGAAACATAAGAGCTCTAGCCATATTTAACAAATGACGATGTTTGGTTCCACAACCCATTTTGTTGGGGAGTATGAATGCAAGACGTCAAATGAATAATTTCTTTAGTTTTAAAAAAAACACCTAGTGAGGAATTAGTAAACTCAGTTCCATTACCACTTCTAAACACCTTAACCTGTTTGCCAAAATGGGTTCCTAACAAATTATAGAAAGACAATATTATCAGCAACTTCATGTTTACTTTTTAACAAATACACCTAAACAACATGAGTATAGTCATCCCCTACGGTAAAAAAAATACTTAAATCCTTCCTTGCTAATCACCCTATAAGAACCCCAAACATTTAAATAAACAAGATCACCTAGGGACTTATATTTGTGATTACTAAATAAAACTTTTCCCTAGTTTGTTTGGCCATATGACAAATTTCACAAGGATGAGTAGCATCACTTCCAATATGCAGTTGATCTTTTAAAACAATCAAGACTTGATCAAAAGGATGACCCAGACAACTGTGCCACAGTTGACTAGAAACACAATGTTGAGCAACAGAAGAAGCAGAAGCATGGAGAAACTTACTCTTAGCACATTGGTCAAAAAAACATACAAACCACCTTCTTGACTACTAATCCCCATTACATTCTTTTGATGAGAATTCTGAATATAACATCGAGACTCCTCAAACCCCATATACGACTTATTATCTTTAGCAAGTTTATGAACATATAACAAATTGACATTGAAGTCAAGAACCACAAGACATCAAACAGAGTAACATTGTTAGACAACTTTAAATTTCCAATTTTATTAACTTTTGCCTCTGTTCCATTAGGATGATTAACCTTTAGATTTAAATCTGAAATGTCAACCACACTATCCAAATTTAAAAAAAAATAGATGTCATATGTTGATTGGCTCTAGAATCAATAATCTAATCAGATTTATAAAATTTTGACACACTTGCCATATTAGCAGACACAGTCTCAGGAATGCTCTTTTGATCCAGCAAGACAAGAAGTTTAATCACTTCTTCTTCAACAAGAGAAGGTGTGGAAGGATGATGAGGTTTTTCTTTTCCAAGAGAGTCTATTACACAGGCATTACTAGACAAAGACTTAAAACCAGGATTTGGTGGTTTAGGTGGTCTGTTTTGAAAATCCTTTGGAAAACCATTGAGTTTGAAACACCTTTTGATAGTATGGCCAGACATACCACAATGTTTGCATAGTAAATTTGATTGCTGCCTACCAATCCTTTTGTTTTCACCAACTTTGCTAAAAAAGGCACTATTTTGACTTTTGTTCCCAGAAAACACACTAAAACCCTCAAGATGATATTCTTCCCTAGATATAAGAGAAAAAACAATTTTGATAGAGGGAAGGGGATCCCTTGAAAGTATATCACTCCTGATAGTTTTCACGAGCTTTTTGAGTAAATAAAATAATAATCGAGTATCTCATAAGCTTTTCAAGTCGAGTATTGAGTATCTTGACTCAACTCGTTAATATGTCGAGTTGAGCTCAAGTTTGAGCCGAGTCTATTCGAGTCTAGTGTTACCGAGCTTTGGCCGAGTCGATCTCGAGTAGCTCGTGAGTTGTTTAGTACCGGTTACACCCCGATCTTTAGGTCTAAAATTGTGGGTCCCACATTTTTTATATTAAATAATCAAACTTCATACACTTGAATACCGTTTATACCTTTGTGTTATCTATAGAAGGGTACTCGCGCAATGCAACGAGATACATTTCGATTTTAATATTTCACTTTATTCTGTCTATATCGATATAATACGTTTTTATGTGGTTTTAAAAAAACAACAATGTTTTTATTTCGAATAAAATGTAAATATGAAGAGATCATAAAAATTTGAAAAAAAAATATATATATCAGTACTAGTATCAAATTAACTATTTAACAGTCTCGTTTTCCGTGTAAAATTTTTAATTCAATTTTTTATTATAATTTAATTTAGGTATAATAACAAAGTAATTTATTTTTAATTTCATAATTTTTTTATAAAAATAATAATTAAGTATTCTGTTAGAACTCAATGAATATCCTAATTATATTTCAAATGTTTTATATTTAAAAATCAAATATTTATCATGTATTTGATTATGCTTATCTACAGTTTGTTACACGAATTCAAACATATAGCTTTAATAAGTTGTACTTATGCACAATTTATTTGTAGTCATACATTTTTAGAATATGCATCAATAAACAATACTTCATACACAAAAAAAAGTTTTTAAGAGTTTTTCCCAAATGCTTTATAATATAGTATAAATAATCAATATAGACAAGAATTTAATAAAATAAATAAATTAACTA